TTTTTTCCTAAAATTAGTGTGTGAAAGAGAGAGTGAAAGAGACTCCTAAAATTAGTGTGTGGAAGAGAGACATCTTTTTTCCTAAAATTAATGAGGGGAAGAGAGTCTTTTTGAAGAGAGATAGATATCCCACCTTTAAGGGAAGAGAGATTAAAAAAAAATTTAATGCGTGTAAGAGAGAAAAAGAGATATCTTTTATTCTAAAATTAGTGTGTGGTAAATCCTAAAATTAGTGCATGGTAAAAACTAAACATACAATTCCCTTGTACAAGTATTTTTGGAGAGAGAGAGAGTAGGCATATGGGTACATATCCCAAACTCAAATTCAACAGAGAGAGAAAGATATGTGTACATATCTAAGATTGTTTGTATGAAGAGTAGAGATTTTAGGAAGAGAGAGAGAGAGAAATTGTTTCTATATTTTAATTTAATAAATAGGAGATCTTAAATTAGAGATTAAATTTAATAAATAGGAGATCTAAAAGTAGAGATTTTAGGATGAGAGATAGATTATTTTCATATTTGAATTTGAGAAATAGGATAACTATTATTTCCCTATTTTTTGGTTCAAACTTTTTAAAATGGGTATCTATCCCAAACTCAAATTAAAGAGAGAGTATGGATTGAAGCAAGTGAGACTCTATGTTAACAAAAATGTAAAAATAAGTATTCCTAGCCTTAACAAAAATGTAAAAATAAGTATTCCTGGCCAAAATATTCTTTTTATTTTTTGCCAAAATGATAAAAAATAAAAAAAACATATTACAAATAGATTTCTTATTTTTTGAGATTTTTTATATTTTTTTAAGTTTTTTAAATATCCCCAAGTTAGCCAAAATATTTTTCAATAAACCACAAAATATTTTTCAATAAACCAAAAAAAAAAAAACACATTACAAATTGATTTATTTTTTTTTGGGGGTTTTTTTTTTATATTTTTAAAATTCTGTTTAATAAAATGGTCAAACAAAAAATGGCCATTTCTTTGCTCTCTAAAGGTATGAGGCAGTGGTAGTAATAAAATAAGGAAATAATATTTAATAAAATTATCGATAAAACTACTGACCAATTACTTAATTTATAATGGTGCACCCATAAAACTACAAAAAATCAATAGAATTGGCCTTATGCATGCGTATTATTATTTTTTATTTTTTTGTTGTTATCATGTGCTTCCATGAAAGCAAATAACATATATTTATTTTTATGTCGTGTAATTTTTTTCTACATCAATGGAATTTTCCCATGAATGCATGCTATGTTTTTTTTAGGGGAATGATCATGTGATTTATAGATAGATAAACGGTGTTGCAGTGTATCTAATTTGTAAACCATTAGTTTATGAAAGATAATATCCAATAGGCCATTGACTTGGATTGCCCGTTGGTGGTTTTCTTTGGTTAATTTTGCTTCCCAATTTGCACTTTCCTTGGATCGCGCCATAAAACCCCCCCTTTCCTTGGTTAGGAGATTTTCATGGCTACCTTCAAAGAGAAGCAATAATTTTGCATTATTTTGGGTTCTCAACCTTTAATGGAGAGCTCTACAAGCTTGTAAAAATGTGGTTTTGAATATGGTTATTTTTTCATATTATAAAAACAGGGGCTTTGTACTTAAAATTTGGTAAATGCTCCTCAATTTGGGTTTTTCTTGGATTCTCAGAACTGTTCTCTTCCAAATACTGTTTCATGATAGAGGGAGAGAGAAAGGAAAATAAGGTTTTGCAGAGGAAGCGAGATAGAGAAAAAAAGTAAAACTGGATTTTGCACAAAGAGAGATTGTGAGAAGGAGTAATATGGGATTTCTTAACAAAAGAAACTCCTTACACCGTGATACGTATTTAAAGTACACAGGATCTTTCCCTTTTCTTTTATGGTCATGCATGTTGCATTTTCATGAAATCAAATAACATGTGTTCATGGTTAAAAGATAATAATGTTAATAATTGTTCAAATAACATATGAACTTAGTAATGTTAATAACATTGTTAGTAATATTTATCTGTGATAATAATTGTTTTGATCTGTCGTACAAAAAATGTTAAAAGATTGTCTTAATGTAGAAAATGACTATTATGCGAATTATGGTTATGTTCATGGAAATGCTTGACAAAATATGATAGGCCTCACGACACGTCCAATTTGTCGCGTACATTTAGCATATATTCAAAATTTGTAATGATATAATGTAATAGGAAATAGATTATAACTCTAAAAGTCACTCGTATCTTAATTGTTGTATGATTTACTGAATTAGTGAACGATGCATATTCAAAATTTGTGGTGGCTTTGAAATAACACAAAATGGGTCATAACCCTAGAAACCACTCATTTCGTAATAGTTCTTTGAACAAAGAGCAACGTAGAGATGCACGGTCTGTTCTATGTGCAACGCACGGATCCCAACTAGTATCTATTATACTCAAATTCACATTCATACTTCTCAACATAACATACTTGTAAAAAAAATGTGAAAAATATAATTAAATTAAATTAAAATAACCCCAAAATTTTAGAAATTTCAAATTTTTTAGTATTTTAGCCATTTTATTTATTTTAAAATATTTTTTGGTATTTTTTTATGAAGATGGGATGGTAAGAAATATCAATTCCTCAAATTTGAGTTCAATATGATATTAAAATAAGATTATAAAATTAGAGGCGGGGTTTCCATCAGGTTGCATCCTTAAATAATCAAGTAAGGCACGTCTCTAATGCAATTTTGGTGTCGAATTTTTTTTTAAAATGGCCCGAGAATCTATTTTCATCTCTAATTATAAATTTTTAAATTCCAAAAAAAAGTTCAAATCAAGTAGATTGATAAAAAGCATGGAAATATTGAAAATAGATGATCTATATAATGCATTGCAAGATGTGCTATTTTTTGAACTTGAAATCTTTTTATTTACTTATATCCATACATTTTTGATATCGAGATGATCAATTAGATAGTTTTCCAACATCAAAATATGTTTTACCAATGGATTTTGAGGTATGTCTTGATTTTACAATTTAAGCATTTATCCTTATATAAACTTTTTCCATAGAACTATGATGCAGACTCCCAGAAAATGAGATTCAAGCATAAAATATAAAATATACAATGCTATTTACAATAAAACGAATTTTTTTTTGGGAAAAATGGCAAAACGCCTTGAAGATTAGGCTTCTAGACAATTTCTTTCCAACCAATTTTTTTTTTTAGCAACTTTTACCCTAAATTTAACTTTTTTAACAAATACTTCCAAGTAAAAAAAATAAAAATAAAATGAAGACCAAAATACCCTCCTTTAACCTTTACCCCTTTCCACACTGTGGTCTCGATTCAATAACAAGAAAAGCGGTCTGGCACTAAATGCATTGGGTCTGGCACATCCAACTTTCGGTCGGCCAGTTGTCTCTTTGTTTAGGCTGTCGGTTCGACAAAAGGAAAGGCGGTTCAATGCTAGGTACCCTTGGCTCGACAATTGTTCGATGGGGTCTAATAGTTGTTTTACTCGGTCCGACACAAGATGACTTCCGTTTAATGCTTTTCTACCTCGATCTAGCACAAGATAACCGCGGTCTTACTGCATTTTGGTTCAAACAATTGTAACTTTTTGACTTGTCAGCGTATTTGTAAGAAACAATTTTTTTAAGGTAAAAATTACTTGATAAAAAAACATTTTTTCGCAATTTATCCTTTTTTTTCGTAAATTTCCTAAAGTTTGTAGTGAAATGAATATAGGTTCTGACACAAGGCTTGTACTTGAGGACTTGACTAAAAGTCATTTTCCATTTTGAGAAGGTTGTACTCTACATTGTGATTCCATTTGACCATTGGCAGGGAACCAAATATTCATAAAAGCACCCGGTCCAACGCTGCCGCTTTTTGACCAAAATGAAAAAGTTCGGAGTAATTTTTGTAAAAATCATTTGTAGTAAAAGGATTAAGTTTTATGAAAACAAAATAAAGTCTCATATCAAATCTTCATTTAAAAAGCCTTTTGGGCGGTGAAAATATTGAGGATGATTCTAAAATCAATTTTCAACACTATCAATAAATTTCGAAACTAAAAAATAAGAGGAAAGTTTGTAGAGAGCTGAGGCTTTAAATAATCAAATTTTAGTTTACATCAAAAATTTTGTTAGAAGAGGTTGTATTGATGCCCAAATATCTTCAATCGGTCATCTCGACTACATCGATATGCATGGACATGAGAAAAAAATAGATTTGAAGTTTTGAAAATAGTGTATTTTGTAACACATTTTTGGACCGTCAATTTTCAAGATTTTATAGATATGTCGATCTATATTAATTTTAAATCTTTAAACTTTATAAATAAAAATAAAAATATATTTTAAAGCTATCACAAAATTTTTTAATATTCCAATCATATTTCTTGATACTATTTGAAGGTAGGCTTTAATTTGATTGTTTAGAGCCTAGGCTCTATACAAACCCAACCCAAAAAATAATACCGAAGATATTGTGGATTTATGATCATTTATTTTTAAAAAGTACTGGACATCTAGATGCTTTGTTGCTATATATATTATTTTTAGAACTTAAAACATTAGTTTTTATTTCGCAACCATAATTTTAAAGGTGAGATGGTAGATTTAAATGTTTTTCACCGCTCGGAATTTTTGATGAGTTATGAGGAGAGGCTTTAATTAGTTTCATAGGGCCGCAGCCCTATTAAACCGTTTCCCCATATTTAAAGGCCAAGCTGGTTTACCGGGAAACCATACATTGTGCGGCGCTCCATGAGGTGCAGAGCACTGAATGGTGGTTTTGAAAACTTCTTCTTAAATTTTGCTTATTAAACCAAAAATATCTATAAAATAATTGGATTACTGGGGCCATGATTTTGGTGGCTACGTATCTCCCTCTTAATTTGAGCCATGAGAGCGTTGCAGTGATCTCTGAAAGAAGCTTTGAAGCTTTAGAGGAGATGGTTGGTGGGTTTTCTTGACGATTGGAGAGGTTTCAGGCTCAATTATTCATCATATGTGAGTTGGGTTTCGAGATATATATTTGCTTTCGTCATTCTAATCCCCGTTTTATGTGTTTCTCTGCGTGTTCAGACCCATTTATTATTTCTTCTAAATTTAAATATTCAGTCATGAGATGTACAAATTGATTGCTCTTACTCCATTAATAATTTTATGTATCTTTTGGGGTTTGGAATTGGGGTTTATTGATGTTCATGGTGAACCTTTTGCCCCTGACTGTTGGATGGTGTGCACATATTAAAATGAGTTTCGCGGAGGGACAGGGCGCTGAAGCAGGGGTGGGCGGGAGGCATATTTGCACTCCTCTCACAATAACATACGCTCTCTCCTCATACAAGTCCTACCAGCTCCATTTGAGAGAGAGAGAGAAAATGGTTGCCTCGCTCGAAGCTGGTGCTGTAGTTATGCAGGCAGCCAAAGTGTGGTGGTGGAGTGGAAATGAGTTGCAACTGACGTCTAGAGAGGGAAAATGGCACCATGGCCAAAGCCCAAACCCTAGTTTCTGCAACTCTTTTTCCTCATCTATTTTCTTCCATTTCGGACCATACAACTCTTCTTCCTCAGCCATTTTCTTCGATTTCTGCAACTCTTCTACCTCATCCATTTTCTTCCATTTCTGCAACTGAGGTCAGGCTTAGAATCAAACGAAAAGGTATGCCGGTTCAGAGATAGAATTTGGGGTTTTTTACAGAGATGGGTTTGAATCAAAAATATTTTTATGGGTTTAAATAAAAAATATTTTTCATTTTCTTGTTGAGAATTGGTTGCTCGGTGACTAGACATGATTTTCTTCACGGGTTCTTTCTTTTGCTTATACATTACAATTTCTATCCGTATTGATGTTTGCTTTAAGGACTTTGGAGCAGTTTTTGGTAGTGAATTTCGTCAAGTTATTATTTATTTCTGGGTTGGTAATTTTCCTCCACATTACCAAACCTGCTTGATCTTTAGCAGTGAATTGTTGGATATCAGTCTTCCAATTTTATTTTTTCGATGCCCCCTTCTCTTCTCCACCCCCTGGTATCCGCTCAGATAGTGAACATATGTATGGTCATGTTTCTGTGCACTTTTATGATCTTAATTTTCTCTTTCTGATATATGTTTTCTCTGCAGGAACTTTATGATGAGGACAGGTCTTATGTTGAACAATAAGCCGCATTCTGCTGCGCACATAGTGAGGTTGAATGATTGTAAACTACCATCAATAGAACCTATGCTCAAAAGATTTAGACACAGAGGTGTCTCAAGATATACTCCTATACTTTGCTACAAGGCCAGTATAAGGTACTATTTGTTTCTTTATTATGAATAGCTTACTTTCACACGGTTGCTAGCGTGCTTCTCTTTTGTATCATGATTGCTTGACACCTCTCATGCAAAGTTACAAGAACAAAGCGATGTTAACTCTTAATTTCTTAAATGTGTGCAATAATGTTTTTTACTTGTAAAACTCTTTTGTGGGAATATTAGCAATGTGTAAAGCTGAACGAGGAATATACAATACTATACTTTCCTGTCCCATGATTTGAATCACCAGGATTACTAAGTATCGCCTATATAAAAAACAAAGAGTTGAAAAATTAACCATTTCATTACAGGATGACAAAATGGTAGTCTGAAAAAGCGACGAAGAATAGATCTAAAATAGCCTGAAGAATCCGCTGAACAGGTACATAAGAAAGTAATGCAGATTTCAGAACACCTTCTCGTAATTTAACTTGAGGAAGGTTCTTCTTTTGGCCATAGGTACCATGAGGAAGATTGATAGATGTCATACTTGCTTAAATCTATTCATTAAATGCTCCTTAATCACAAGATCCATTCATTGAGCTTATTCCTTACAGTCTGTGAGATATATTGTGCCTTGTTTGATTGTGCTGAGCATCTAATAAAATGCTCACTGCATTTTCTGTGAGTTTTAGCTATAATACCATGGGTAATAATGAACAATGAATCTCTCTCATGGGGTGTCACCTAAGATGCAAAAGATGCTAAATGAGATGGCAATGAGCTCTAAAATTGTAATATCTATACTGGGGAGACCTACCCAGGGAGAAGAGATGCACAAATTCCCTCACACTAGCCCTTAACACGTGCACGAACATAGGTTACTATCTTACAAAATAGAGTGGCTCCTGTCATTGTCTAAAGTGAGTTGTTTTTCATTATTTAACTTGATAGAAATTGAAAGCAAAGGTTTGTATATGTTGAAAGTTTAATAGTTTGATAAACCTTAGGAATAGTAGCCCTGCTTTTCGTTGTTCTTCTTCTTTCGTTTCCCTTTTTTTTTTTTCTCCTTTTTTGCTAAAACATAATGCATACCTGAAACAATTAATTTTTCAAACTTTATGTGTAGAGGCCTGCAACTTAACTTCCGAAGTACCATATGGGTTTGAACAATCTGCGAGTGTCCAATAGGTTCAATTCAATTAAGGCCAGCCCTAAACCTCAACTTTCCTTTTCTTCTTTCTCTGTATACTTTCCCTACTTTTGTGAAAATCTAGGTAACAGGACGTGTGGCATATGTGATGTTTGATGCATTCCAAAAGAATTCTTAGTTGATAAATTACTTGTATGTATACTATGTCACGTGTAATTCCACATGGATTCTTCTTGTTTTCTTTTTCGTCCTCAATATGTTATTTGTTTTATCACCTAGTCAGAGAAGGCAAGTGCTTTGAGACTATTTAACATGCACATGAGAACAAAATTGATATTAAGGAATATTAATAAATGTGAATTGATATGAGCATGATTTACTGGTTGCTTGTTTTCTGGGTACTGAGGAAATGACATTTAAGGATTGACATTTAAGGCACACATCCCTAATGTTTTGTTTCTATACAAACTCTTTTCTAATATAGATGTTTCAGTATGTATAATGGAAACATTGCGAATTGTAAATTTAAATGAATTGTGCCTATTGACTATTTAAGGTGTTCAAGGACATCTGGGTTTACCAACTGCCAGAGAATCCAATGTTATAATGCCCCAGCAGCCGAGTTCTTTCATGATGATAAAGCTCCTCAAGATCATGTTTTGCCCTCCAACTCAAGAGAAGATGCAACAAAGTATTTTGATTTTGTTGTAATTGGTAGTGGAATTGCAGGACTTCGATATGCTCTTGAGGTTTCAAAACATGGCTCTGTTGCAGTGATAACTAAGGCTGAGCCTCATGAGAGTAACACAAACTATGCACAAGGTGGCGTTAGTGCTGTTTTGTGCCCTTTGGATTCTGTAGAGAGCCACATGAGAGATACAATTGTTGCCGGGGCTTATTTATGCGATGAAGAGACTGTAAGGGTAGGCTTTGCTTTTATAACCACTCCTAGTTCCTTCTTCTGTCTATCCAATTTTGCTCCCTGAGTTGGGCATCTATCACAAACTGCATTTTCTATGTTGTAGTTTGTGGGATCCATGTTGCTTATTATGCTCTTTTTTTTTTTGGAATGGTATCATGCAATTTTATATTGTAAATCCAAATATAGATGTGGTGTTTTTTATTCAATTTGTTTACAAGGTATTTCATTAATGATCAAGATAGTATCATCTTCTCTTATTGGATCTCTATGGTCATTCGTTTAAATCATCAGTTTGGTTAGTTTAAGAAATGAATGGAAAAAAATGATATTTGCATGTACATCTAAACTCATTTTATTGTGTTGAACTATGACACTAGCATGTTCCTGCATTGGATTAAGGTCACTGAAATCAGGATGAGTTGCACAAGCTACAATTTGCGCATGACAATTCCTATTTGTATTTCGAGTTTCTTAGCTATTGTATATCCATTGTGTATTGTGATCTCTCTTGTTTTTCCATTTGTTGTCCTCCAGCAATTAGATCCTTGTGGTTCACTTTGAGGCCTGGCATGTCCTGTTATTATGATAGTGCTAATTCTTGTGATTGTTTACTATATTGTTTCTTTCTGCTTTTCTGATTATATAAGTTCTTGAGAATTCTCATACCATATTAATGACTTTCATGATGTTGGTAATATTCTGATTATATAAGTTCTTGAGAATTCTCATACCATATTAATGACTTTCATGATGTTGGTAATATGAAATAATACTTTCTTGCAGTTTGTTAAGCTTCCAGCCTTGTTACTTCTTTGGCCCATTAACAGATGTGCAAACAAAGTTACATATGGAATATATCAATTTAGCTATTTCCTTTCACATCTTCCAGTATGTGTGAATCTCTACTTTTTGTCGTCTTTGCAGCATTATGGGAGCTTTGCTTAAATGGGGTTAGCTTTGTACAGGTGGTGTGCACAGAAGGGCCAGATAGGGTTAAAGAATTAATTGCTATCGGGGCATCATTTGATTATGGTGAAGATGGGAACCTACATCTAGCAAGGGAAGGTGGCCATTCACACCGTCGAATTGTACATGCTGCTGATATGACTGGAAGAGAGATTGAAAGAGCTCTGCTCAAAGCTGTTGATAATGATCTTGGCATTACTTTGTTTGAGCACCATTTTGCTATTGATTTGCTGACTTCTCAGGTTTATGCATTGTTATGAGATTAGTTTTTCATTTTCCTTGTTTATAATTCTGAACTTTCAAGTTTTCCTTGTTTATAATTCTGAACTTTCAAGTTTAGTTTCCTGAAAAAGTTTTTCAAGATCAATCTATAAATAGTGTTCTAATCCAATTATGTGGTGTCTTAACTATTTCAATGTATCTTGAGATGACACGGTGTGCGACTACTATTGTTACAGGATGGTTTGGAAATACGTTGTCATGGGGTGGATACGTTGAATACCGAAACCAATCAGGTAACCTGATGGACTTTCCTAGTAAATAACTGTATATTGCAGTAGCGCATTTTCATTCTGTAGTTTAGCTTGTTTTACCGGTTGATTGTTACTCAAAAAATATGCTGCCTATGGAAACAAAATTCTTAGCTTGTTCCTTTTAATATAATGTGTTCTCCAGGTGATTCGGTTTTTATCAAAAGTCACTCTACTTGCCTCAGGAGGTGCAGGCCATATTTACCCCACCACTACAAATCCACTGGTAACTTTTCAGCCCTTTGGCCATTAGACACCATCTGTCATTCATTTGGCATTTATGCACAGGGGCTTTCTCTTTCATGTTGCTTAAAGTTTTGTTATTTATGGCTTTTTCTGTGTTCAAATTAACTTTATGACTTGTAGAAAGCCCAGTAAAATGATGCAAGTCGATAATGAGAAACTGATCTCTAAATATTTACAACCAAAAATTTTTCTGTATTTCTCCACATGCACAATATGCGCTAATGTACCCTATGCTATCATATTTGCTTAAAAACAATTTGTTACTTTTTACACATGTACAGAACAAAGCACTGCTATTAAAAATGACCAAAATTCCTTTATGTGTACTTCAGATGACAGTATGAAATAAAATTCAAATATACGAGGGCTAATGCAAATTGCTGAATGATAATTCAAACTTCTACAGGTTGCTACTGGAGATGGCATTGCAATGGCTCACCGAGCGCACGCTGTCATTTCCAATATGGAGTAAGCTCTCACTTACCCTATACTTAAGAGCACTCCCTTGTCCCTTTCTCCAGTAGGGAAAATATAGCCATGCAACAATGATCCATGGTTGGGCATGCTAAAGGGCCATCCACTGTCCATTCCTGACATCGAAAAGTGGAGATTAACTGGAGTGCCCCCCCCCAGCCACCACGGCTGGGTATTCCTTTGGGTTTTTTTGTTTCCCTCTTTGCGAAAGTATGCTCTGACTATCATGGCAATAATATAGTCATAGGGATCTTCACCATCCAAACTATGAACTATATGGTAATGGAGAGAGAGTGGGATATACGTTTGGATTCATGCTATGTTTGGTCGGGCTGATTCTCCCTCCCTCCCCATCCAACCTATTGATGGAACAGTGAAGATCCCTGTGGCAGCACTACTGCCATGATCTGACGGGCCATAGTATGTTTCTCCTTTTTTTTATATTTTAAATATTGACAAAATGGAATGCCCACTTGTGTTAATGCAGGTTCGTGCAGTTCCACCCCACTGCCCTAGCCGAGGAGGGGCTCCCCATCAAGCCCGTAGACCGCGAGAATGCCTTCCTGATCACTGAGGCCGTGCGCGGGGATGGTGGCATCCTCTACAACCAATCTATGGAGCGGTTCATGCCTATGTATGATGACCGCGCCGAGCTTGCCCCTCGTGATATCGTCGCTCGGAGCATCGATGACCAGCTCAAAAAGCGTGGGGAGAAATTTGTTTTCCTTGACATCAGTCACAGACCCAAATACAAGATCCTCTCCCACTTCCCGAATGTGACGGCCCAGTGCCTACGTTACGGGATCGACATAACCAAACAGCCCATCCCTGTGGTCCCTGCTGCACATTACATGTGTGGTGGGGTCCGCGCCGGGCTTCATGGCGAGACCTCTATCAAGGGGCTTTATGCTGCAGGTGAGGTTGCTTGTACTGGGCTCCATGGAGCAAATAGACTCGCGAGCAATTCATTACTTGAGGCTTTGGTTTTCTCACAACGAGCTATTGGACCGTCTGTCGCCGCCTGTAAGGCTGCAGGCTCTGACTTGAGCATAGGACGAGGACCAGACATGTGGGCCTGGCCAATAGTACCGCGACCACTGTCACAAGGGGCTCTAAGTCAGATAATGCAGAAGACGAGAAGCTTGAGGAGACAGTTGCAGGAGGTTATGTGGGACTATGTCGGGATTGTAAGGTCGACAGAGAGACTTGAGAAGGCGAAAAGACGGCTTAGAGAGGTGGAGGGGGAGTGGGAGGGATACTTGTTTAGGTGGGGCTGGGGACCTAGGATGGTGGGTGTGGAGGCCTGTGAGATGAGGAATTTGGTTTGTTGTGCGAAGTTGGTGGTGAGGAGTGCATTGGCAAGGCACGAGAGTCGGGGGCTTCATTTTACAGTGGATTTCCCACATGTGGAGGAGAGCATGAGGCTCCCGACATTAATATTCCCCAGCTCCACAGTGGATGTCACTTGGAGCACTCAACAGCTTCACAAGCACCCATCTTGGTCGTTAGATTAGAAGTTCATTTGTAGTTTTCTTTTTTTTTTTGTAGTTTTGGGTCACGATTCTTTTCTTTTGCCTTGATTTGATCCAAAAGTGCTGGGTTTGAATCCACAACCACTAGAATTGAAGGGAAAAGAATCTTTCTTTTGCCTTTATGTGATCCAAAAGTGCTGGGTTTGAATCTACAACCACTAGAATTGAAGGGAAAAGCATGGGTTGTGATATGAGCCCTGGGGTGAAGTGTCATTCCATCATAGTTGAATGAACTCATTGCATGATTTAATATTCTCTGTTCTCTTTTGTCGACTTTTGTATACTTGATGAGATTAGAGCCTTTCAATAAAGAGAGGGCCAGTTCAGCTTATTTGGGTTTTAAGGAGGGTTTGAACCCTGGACCTCCCTCACCTAAACTGGTGTGTTTACCACTAAGCTGAAGTATAAGATTAGATCTTTCGCTTCATTGGATATATGGGGTGTAATAAATATCTTCTTTCTTTTCTCTTATCAATTTTTTTCTTTTTTTTCTAAATCTGTAATTATATGTGCAATGAGGCTAATGCTGCAAAACAAGAAAGGTAATTTAAATATTTGATTCACAAAACATTCTCTGGTGTGTTCAATTTGTTTCACTTCTTTCTATTTGGCAAGAGCCGTGATTATCTTGAGTTCAAGTTGCTCAGTCATTTTGAGAGGGTTGAAAATGGCATAGGCAGGGGTGCTTCGTTATAATTAACAGAAAGCAATGTGATTTTGGCGAAATATTAAATCTTACGGTGTTCCATATGCTTATCTTTTAAATAATCAAAATGACCAGGGAAATTCATCAAAATATCAAGAAGCAGAGCTGAATTATTTAACATTGTCTTTTTACATCAATTTCAACTCAAAATCATGTGTATTTTGAAATTAAAATAAAAAATATGAAAAGGCGCTAATTTGTTATGGATAATTTGATAGGTTTCCTTTTATTTTATGGATTTGAACATGTAAGAGAAGACGAGATAGAGCATTTGAGCGTCAGCTACCGATCTAGGTTTTCATTCCCAATGACGCATTTGCAAACCGCTAATTATTTTTAAAAACGGGTAGAGACCTGTATTCCCTGCTGATGTACCTAAAAAAAACTCAACCCTCTTTCATTAATCAAATGTACAATTTTCTTTTTTTAATTAACAGCCGCCCCATTTGATCTCTAGGCTTTAATCACGGCTAGCGTATCCCCTAAAGCCGCGACCCTAGGGGAAAAAATTGATAAGAAAACTATCATGGTAAATTTCGGTAAATTTCAGCATTTATTCCAAAAACCACATTTGCATTTCTCATTAAACTAGTAACAAAGAGAAATCTTTTGATGGGTAGCACAGTTTTATTTGCAAGAGACAGGTCTGATCGCTAGACCTCTCTCACTCTAAACCTGATGTCCTAGGAAAATGTTTTATTGTTCTTTTTAATATGGAAAATTATTTCATGCATCGGGGATTTCTACATTTGCGGTCCCCAAGTTATAAAGCATCTATGGGTGGTTCATTTAAAAATAATTGAAACTAATAGTCTAAATATTTTATTCATAAAATTATTTATTTTTAATTTTTAATTTTCAATTTTTTTTTTTTTTCATATTCATGATCTCCATATTAGATATTACATGTCCTTAAAAAAGTGGGTCCGAGATATTACATGTAGTTAAAAATTGGGTCCAAAAATCCATCTCAAAATTAGATTTCTAAGAGGGGTCTCATTTCTACATGGACTCAGATAAACCACGTTCTTTTAATATTATTAGGGAAACATTAGTTACTGTCCAAAAGTTCTCCTTACATCCTTACCCAAATAAATGTATCCACTGTGTCACACCCAATAAGCATCATGCACATCAAGTATTTACCATTATGCCCACTACCTTATAACCCTTGATTTCTAGCACCCAAACAAATCAAAACCCATGTCTCACCATTCACCCACATACTTAGCCCTGCTAAAGGCCAACACCAACCTCAAACAACTCAAGCAAGTGCATGGCCACATCATAACCACCACCTCCTCTCTCTACCCACAAAGCACCCCTCTCCTCACAAAGCTTCTCTCTCTCTACACCTTCTCAGGCTCCATCTACCACTCTCTACACATCTTCAACTCCATCCAAAACCCTGACAAATTCCTCTACAACTCATTCATTAGAGCCTCAGCCCACTGCAACTTTCCCCACCATGCCCTCCTCCTCTTGTCCCTCATGCTCAACTCTGGTTTCTCTCTCTGCACTTTCTCTCTCACCTCAGCCATCAAAGCTTGCTCTGATCTCTCTGCCGCCTCCCAAACTGGTCGTGAAATCCATGCGCGAGCTGTGCTTGCAGGCTTTGGCCCTGACTTGTATGTTCAAACGGCCTTAGTGACTATGTATGCCAAGTCTAATGATTTGGAAACCTCTCGGAAAGTGTTTGATCACATGACTCTAAAGAGTGTGACGACTTGGAATGCGATGATTTCAGGTTATGAGCAAAATGGGTGGAGCGTCGAAGCACTCTCCATGCTCCGTCTCATGCGGAGTGCTTGTGTGGCACCCGATTCTGCTACCTTGGTGTCTGCTCTCTCTGCTTGTGCACAAATTGGGGCTCTTGATATGGGAGAGAGCCTTGAGTCCGAAACCCATGCAACCATACACAACCCTGGAGTGGAGCTACACACCGCCATCCTGACCATGTATGGCAGGTGTGGAAAAGTGGATAAAGCACGAGAGGTTTTTGAAATGATACACAACCCAAATGTGGTCTCGTACACAGCCTTGATCTCAGCTTATGGAATGCATGGACAGGGTGAGGAGGCGGTGCATGCATTTGAGAGAATGAAAGCACATGGTGTGCACCCAAATGCTGTAACACTCACTGCTGTGCTCTCGGCTTGTGCACACTCAGGGCTTGTGTATGAAGGCCTTGAAGCATATGACTCCATGACAAAATGCTATGGCATGAAACCATCAGTCGAGCACCGTGTAGCCATGGTGGACCTTCTAGGGCGCAATGGGTTTCTAAAGGAAGCTGCCAGGTTCATCGAGTCTATCCCTGGAGAGCCCCAACCACCGGTCTTAACCGCCATGATTGGTGCATGTATGGTGCACAAGAGGTTTGATATGGGAGTAGAGTTTGCAAAGAGGCTTCTTTCTCTAGAACCTGATAACCCTGCGCACTATGTTCTTCTCTCTAACCTCTATGCGGCTTCAGGGAGAGCTGATAGGGTTGAGATGGTTAGGTCCATGATGACTGAGAGAGGATTGAAGAAGCAGCCTGGGTTCAGCTCAATTGAGGTTAAAGGAGAGGTTCATGTGTTCTGGAATGGCGATAAGTCGCACCCATCTAGTGAGAGAATTTATGAAGAATTAGAGGAGCTTGTAAGGAGAATAAGGAAAGTGGGTTATGAACCAGAGACCGGTGCAGTACTCCATGAGATGGAGGACGAAGAGAAGGAATATGCACTTCGATTTCATAGTGAGAAACTGGCTATCGTGTATGGACTAATGAGCAGTAGAGAGGGGGAGGAGATCAGGGTGGTAAAGAACTTGAGGATGTGTGAGGATTGCCATTCAGCTATCAAGTTGATCTCAAAAGTTGTGGGGAGAGAGATTTTGGTGAGAGATAAGCTTAGGTTCCACCATTTTAGAGATGGGGCATGTTCTTGTAGGGATTGTTGGTGACAGATTACAGAAGCGATAATGAAAGAGATGTTGGCATCTAGATGCATCTTTAATTGTTCAAAAGATATACAAGCAGCATATAATCTCTCTCTCTCTATTTTGACACACATCTGAGAACCAGTGCTTCCAAGAACACATGGAGCATAATCAGTGGATGCCTGATCTTTCACTGTTATTTCACGGAGAGAGAGATAGAGAGAGAGAGAGAGAGAGAGAGATAATCAGTGGATGCCTGATCTTTCACTGTTATTTCACGGAGAGAGAGAGAGAGAGAGAGAGAGAGAGAGAGATAATAAGTGGATGCTGATCTTCACTGTTATTTCGACGAGAGAGAGAGAGAGAGAGAGAGAG